CACTGCCTCAATTACTGTACGCGCAAGACCCGTGACCTCAGTCATAATAACTCACTGACTCTTCAAGGAAAAAGATGCCTACATGGCAACACCTATTTATCGATCAGGTTCCAAAGACTAAACCGTCCACAAGCGCCTCACTGGCATACCATCCCATCACATACCTGTCAGCACATAACAACACTCATGATTCTCAACTTACCTTCGAATTATACCTCGAACATTAAACTCTTCAACACTAAACATCACTGCCACTCACCCAAATCAACAGTTTAACCAATCGTCCCACCGTACCATTAAACCATTACTAAGGAATTCTTCCTCAAACATCCTTAAGAGATCACCATTATAACAAGAGAATAAGCATCACTCTCGGTACTTTTCTACAATTGCCACTATTTTCCACTAGAAAAGAACCTCTATACGGCAATGCCATGCCGACAAATCCTCAAAAATAAAATGAGCATAAGAACCAAGACGCTTAACACTCAACTGTCACCTCGAAACCATCAACGATGCGATTAATCACTGTTGTCCTCCTGAATACTGAGATCACTCCCAAACTGACTTACTCTCCAATACAGGAACCTCAAGTACTAACACCCCCATGATCATCCTTCCCAAGATAGATGCGCAAACTCTAATCCCTTGGAAACAACAAGCCTTTACTAACCAATCGCTCATTCAAAAGTGACGCTAACTCGATATGAAAACACACATCACTCGTGATACCTGACACCTTAGTCAACAACCCGTTACAAGAAAAGAATCATACGTGGCGTACTACAGAAACAGTCCCTAGGAGGAGAACAAACACTACGCTAAATGGTCAATCACATAAACTGAAGTAGACGACAACTACAAAACAATGGTCTCTAATTGGTATCTAACTAGACACTCAGGTTACACCTACAACCGTGACTACCATCCAACACAATGGAATGTTCACATCGATTTCATCTGAGTTGTGTACCCGTAGCTCGCTCTGTGTGGTAGCCTTCTGGTGCCACCTGCACACGCTCACACACACCCGCTCATAAGGCCACAAAACAAATAAATCAAATAGAACAAGCCACCAAGCCCCAAGAGGTCACTCCTTATCCTGGCTTAACACAATCTGTGACCAACACTCTATGGTCACCAAACAACATCACACTTAGCTTCTGCCTTCCTCAATGGAATCATAACAAAAGGTGCAACTTACTCATCTCGTCACCAACTCAAGATCAACCTCAACTTTTACTCCCAAACAATAATCTAAGGGACAACTCTCAACCTTAACATCAGTGAACTTCTAATTAAAAATCCAAATACAAACCTTGCTCAACCCATACAGCACTAGAACCTCACAAGTCATACTCTACATACCACCTCATGTCCGATGACATCCAATCAACTTTGCTTACACGAAATGATCCCATGACTCACACACCATACCCTACGAATCCATTATCCCAAGAATCCACTTACTACACATAGGAAACACAAGACAAACCCTCGCCCGTGCAAGAAAACGAGGACTTCAGTCCCGGAAGACACCTAAGATCAAACCTTTTCACCATTGCCAGTCTCTAGGAAAAAGACTCCTAGTGGGACGACACATTCAGTTCAAATCGGACTCAAAAGATCGTGTTACTCACATCACCCTTGCCCACAATGCTAATACCTACCCTAGTCGTAAGTGAAACCTCATAGAACCAATACAACATAAAAGCGCGCATGCTAAACAACTACATATTGAAACCATAACACCTACTCATGGATCATTTAAGTCAGTGATACACACATATGCCATATAAGCATGTAATCACGTAAGAAAATAAGCAAGTACGCAAGTGAGCATGCTTTTCAGAACCTTAAACACAAGCAACTAAGCAAGTAAACAAGTAAGCATGCTGCTCAAACATTTAAACACTTTAACATGTAGCATATAGACAAGTAAACAATTTAGCATGCTTCTTCAAATATCTAAACACGTAACAAATAATCTCACACGCAATGTAAACAACTTCCCACGCAATCCTACATAGGCCTCTACCCGTCGTCCTAAGGTTTTCGAACCATCGCTCTGATACCAAATTTGTAACGACCCTAAACTGATCCCGTTTATATAAAAAAAAAAAAATTCGGTATGACCTCCCCTAAAAAGGGGACTATCACAACCTGCTCAAATAAAAAAAATGCAATGGCCCTTCCTGGCCTTTCAAAACACCTCCAACCTGTCCCAACACATAATACAAATAATATACTCCAACATCCCATTCATCCGTTCATTATACCTCAACATGGTTCATCTCATGGTGGAACATTTACATGCCGTTTAATCCAAATTATCATAATTACAGTCCCAAAATATAGTTACAATAATAAGAGTTCACAAATCTCTATACCAAATATAACAAACTAAGATTTTACAAAAAATATGGGACTTAATACAAAAATAGCCAAAAGAAGTCTTCTAATTCAAATTAGGCCTGTGGTGGAAAGTCATCCTCCACTTCTTTCCCGTTTCCTGAAAAATTTATTAAATAATAGGGTGAGCATAAAGCTCAGTAGGTAGCACTTAAGACATGCTTCTTGTGTCCCCGTGAATCCATACAAAGAATAGAGCAATGGGAAATGGGGATCATACAATGCTAGGATAAAACCATATAACAATCAACTTTCAAGTATAAACAAGGAGGTGTTATGCAATGCAATGTATGACAATGTCTCTCCTCATTTTCACTTTCAAACCATCACTTTCAAATTGTTAATATAACCCGCCCTTTGGTGACCCCGCAGCGACATGAGAGAAGGATTGGCTACTGTCCCTGACCCTTGGTACCCCCGCGGCGTCATTATGGGGCCCAGCTAGCTCAACCACGCTAGGGCGACTTCCTAATTCCCTCTAGGCTATATTAACCTTCCGGCCCTTTGGTACCCCCGCGGCGACCGGGTTTTCATAAAACAGTGTTTTTTTTTTTTTTTTTCATCAAAACTCTTTCCCCAAAATTTTCCTTTTTATTTCAAAATCATTTCTTCCCTTTCATGCCCAATGTCAATGCATGGATGCTTCAAGGACATGCATATACTCATCTTTCCACAACTAGTCAAATTTAAGCAACATGGCATAACTCACAAGAATATCAAGAAAAATCAAAACATGCTTTCAAACAACAAGAATCTAGCAAGATGAATACATATAGTCAATTCTTACACATGCTCTTCACATAGAACCATTAACACACATAGTCACTTAATTAACATATATGCATATGTATCAACAATTCTCTAGATATCAAACAATTAATCAAATTAAGCAACAATTAGAGGGAATTAATTCACTCAGGTACAGAATTTCGTGGATTAAGGGCCCCTACCTCAAGATTGCACAAAACCCTTAAAATGGGTCAAGAATTTCGAACTCCAAGGGAAGGCCCGAAACTGAAATTGATGGTACTACCGCGTAGAGCTTGTCGTGGGCTTCGTTTTGCCTCAAACGGTACACCAAAACTCCAAGAATTGAGTCAGTTATCAAGATTCAAAACTTGAAACCAAAGTGAAAAAGAAAATGAAGAAGAAAGGGAGGAAGAGAGAAAGTGACGGGGAGAGAGAGAATGGAGGAAAAGAAATGGTTTCTAAACCATAAACTAAGTGGGTGGTGGGTCCCGCGAATTTCTTTTCTTTTTCCTTTTTCTTTTGTATCAATTTCACACCACAACACATATAAGTGCACCACCACTTAATACTACATCATCACATAAATTAAAATGCACAAAATGCAACTGGACCTAACCACAATCCCGTATGAAAAATGTGAAAAGGCCGAAATACCCCTATGTCAATGAATTTCCAGAAAAATGGAAAAATACAAAAAATCGGAAACATTACAAAAACCGAAAGAGAGAAGAAAATATTAAGAAAGTGGTATCTGCATCATGAAATGGATAACAAATTAAGGTTAGAGAACTCATGCCATCAACCATCTAAAGACATCAAAAGCATTAAATTCTTAAAATAGCTTAGCTTTTTGTATTAAAATATTAGATAGCTACATTTTACTGGATTGCCCAGTCAATAATGCCAAAAGTGTGAACAATAACATCCATTTTTTTCACTCCATGAATGGTAACTAACGCAGACTTCAATATTGCTAAATGTGGCAAACTTATCCAAACCATGAAATTAAGAACATAAATCCAGCAGCCCAAACAAGATGCCCAAATACACTATTCATACTGAAGGGGTATATACACAATGTAGAGGCAATCAAGAAAAAATACCTTATTATCGTGATCGGTTCTCTTCCAGCATGCCCCTACTATAGATTGCAACTAATAGAACATTGAGGGGCTTGCTCTTCATAAGCCCAAACCATAGTGCTGCTGGTGGAAGATACCAAAATTTACAAGCATGTCAAGAATTGTATCAAACAAATAAAAGTAATTAATAAGTCATGCAAACTAAAATTCCAGCATGTGGCTGAGTGGCTCATGTAAGAGAAATTGAGTGAAATTTGTATTGAAAATGTGACTTGCCTGAGATCAATATTTCCCTCTATAACTCTGCAAGTTCCAAGAAAACCGGATGTTAAGCAGTTCTTTGGAGAATCCATTGAAAATCTGAAATCAAAAGGGAAATAAAAGAAGTTGATAGAGTACTTCATTATAATTGTCTTGTTTGCTTGTAACTTGTAAAGGAAAACGGTGAGAAAATAAAATATGAAGGAAAAAAAAAAAGGACTCCGATAACTTATTTTTGTCTTACAATAAGTTGAGAGAGTATTTCATCATTTTCAATAAGAATCACACACTAAACTGAGATCTAAAAGCAAGTGAATTAATACTGCAGTCAACATTCAAATCCAACATATACTAAACATCCAAATTCTCTGTTTTAGTATGTCAAATCTTAATATATTTACATAACAAACTAGTTTTCCCAATGAAGCATAAAAAATAGAGTTTCCCAAATAAGATCATAGTGCTCTGGTAGACAAGTGATAAGATGTGATGGATGCAATATATATTGCTGGACTTGCCTTGCCCTCTTGCTTTCTGCTTCAACTGGCCCTGCATTTCAATAGAACATAATAAGAATCATAGCAGAATAACATATAAATTATAAGGCACTAAAAAGTTGTATGGCTTTTAGGGTGCTCACCAAACGTGGAGTGTCATGACTGCAACCAGAACTTGGTGACTCTCCTAGAGTGGCGGAAGACTTCAAAACCTATGACCATAAAATTAACTTATAAAAAACACTTATAAAGAAAATATACTCACATGGATAAGAACACAAGAACGTTAAGAACTGTACCAGTCCACTAGCATTAGCATATGATGATGCAATAACGTGGCTATTTGTTGGTTTAGACTTTCAAGTTGTTCATTATACTCTGCCTTCAAATTAAACACTGTCTCTTGAAATTCTGCACATACAACAGGAACCTCTCCCTCAGACTGTGTCACTCACCTCAAAAGCTCCACCCGAATAGGAGATCAGCCCCAAATGTCAGAAGGTGTACCTAAGCCATAAATGCAAACACAGCCCCCTTTTCCTTCTCCCATTACTCGGGAGTACAAATCATGAGAGGATGTACCACCATCTGAGTTTGAGGTCTCTTCAGGATGATTTGCATCACGGTTTTTAGTTATGACTGCAAATAGGAAAAAATTAAATTAAAAATCATGAAATATATGAAAATAAATATAGTGTTAATTACTACAATATTCATAATGATGATGCAGCAAAAACATCGTGCTTTAAATGGCCCCATATTCATACTTTTATCAGCTGAAGTTTCTGGCTGTTGTATCTTTTGTTTTGGTTGTTCTTAACAGATCCATTCCCAAGCAGATACTTGTTTGGTTAGACAATAATTGAATTTCATGAAATTAAAAATTAAAAAACAGAGCATAGATTAGATGCCTTTTAGAAGCTAAATAATAATAGTGAACCATCCACACAGAAATTCATAGTCTAAACTCTAATGTCTGACAAGAACTTCGTTTAAAATATGTTTGAATAATCAGAAATTTAACAGAAACCCCAAAGGAATTTGGTGTAACTTATCTCCTAGAAACAAAATTTAGTGCTCAGCACAACAAGAAACCATACATTGTTTTTGAATCATTTTATATTATATCAGAACCATATATCAGAATCAATTAACCATCGTATATGGAGAAACAAAGTGAAGCCAACATTTTCCTTCTGCTGCAGCATACTAAAATTTCTTATTCAAAGAAAAATTCTGAAGAGTATTATTTAATAGCATTAACTGAGAAGAAAATTGAAGTAGGTCCTCTAAAATAATCTAACCATCAATAATTCAATAGTAAGTAGTATTCTTAAAAAGCAATCCTAGTCGCTGAAACACATATATATGAGACAGTTGCAATTAGGTTGCTCAAATTCTCACTCTCATCATAAACTAAAAACAAAGTGGCATCTGCATCATAAATGGATAACTAATTAAATGTGAGAGAACTCGTGACATCAACCATCTAAAGTCAGTACATGAATATTCTTAATTTCTTGTTATAGCTTTTTGTTTAAAAATATTAGATAGCCACATTTTACTGGAATGCAAAGGATATTGCTTACTCAATAATGTCAATTGTGAGCAATAACGCCCACTGCACTCTAGGGATAGTAACTAATGCAAACTTCAACATTGCTAAATGCATTCAAAGGCAAACTTATTTTTATCTTAAAATTGTAAAAGCATGAATAAAAAAACCATAATCCCTAAATAGAATAGCATAATAAAAATTAAAAAAATAGAACCTAAATCTATTTCTTGGTCTTGTTTGGTTGTAACTTGTAATGAAAATTGTGAGAAAATAAAACATGAAGGAAAATTAAAAAGGAATCTTATAATTTATTAGAAAACAATATATCTTTATTTTATCGGAGAAAGGATAACAAAACAATTTACCATACAGAAAAAAAGCATAAGTTTAGGAACCTGTAAAGGAAAAAAAAAAAACTTTTACCTATGGAATGTTTTCTTTTTCCACATTCTTTTGCCTTCATTTTTTTCTACTTGTTTTTTTTTTTTTTTTTTTTTTTAATTTGCCTTTGCCTTCAATCATTGTTTCTGAGAATCAAACAGAGACCAAAGTGTCTTTAGCTGCAAAAGAAGCATATTGACTAATCTACAATAGTCCATCAAAATTAAACCAGATTTATTATACATGTCGTGGGCGATTAAAAACTTGTGATGATTCTGTATGCTTTAGAATTAACATTAATTAAGATTGTATTGCCAAATGTGGAGGCACATGCCTGAGTGAGAGTTGAAGTTTCACTGCAAGTGTCATAAGTTGAGAATTTCCAATGCTCCAAGAAACACACACTACTGGTGTTGACAGTGGAAGGGAAGTGAGATGGGACAAAAAAAAGAAAAAAGCAATAGATGGGAGAAAGTAACAATTTTGGCACATACCTGAGGTGAAGGAATTCCTGCATGAATGGAGGAATCCAATGCGAGCACGCGAGTGTTTGTCACTCTAAGTTAACGATGTGTTCACCATCTATATATATGTGGGGGATTCGGGAAATGCTTGGCCAATCTTTACCTTTCTCCCTTTGGCAGCATGGTTTCAGCAATGGACAATTCCCCATATGGGAAAATACGATTCTTTCCTTGTATAAGGAAATTGTGTATAGGTTGTTAATAGCTAGGGATTTATTAGTTATTGTAATCCCTGATTTCTAGGGATCAGTTTTTTATATGTATTAATGTGTATCTCTAGGATTAGTTAGTTTCCTAGAATAGCATTATTCTGATGTACATATAACAGTGTATTCCCAATTCTTTAATCAATTGATTCGATTACCAATTTCAGTAATTTTGTCATGGTATCAGAGCTCTAGGCTCGTTTTCTGGGTAATCGTCTTCTCTTGGCCTTCTGTGCTAGTCCTTTTCTTCGTGTTCTTGTTCTGTGAAAATCCAGTGTTATCAAACCTGTGGATTTCACCTCTCTCTCTAAACCATGTCAGCATCCACCGAAACCAACGACACTTCAGAGATCGTTGTAACTGGAAGCAACGGCTCTGTCACAACAGGAGAATTGCAGAATATCTAGGCGGCGTATAGGTTGAACGGGAAAAATTATCTGAAGTGGTCTCAAATGGTCCGCACGTTCTTGAAGGGAAGAGGGAAACTGAGCCACTTGCTTGGTAATGGTCCAAAGAAGGAGGATCCTAAGTTTGATGCTTGGGATGAACAAGACTCTATGGTTATGTCCTGGTTATGGAGCTCTATGTTACCAGAAATTAGCGACACTTGTATGTTTTTTAGCACGGCCAAGGAGATATGGGAAGCAGTCAAGCAGACCTATTCCAAAGTACGTGATGCTGCACAAATCTATGAGATCAAGACCAAAATCTTCGCTACCAAACAGGGTAATCGATCAGTCACCGAATATTCCAACCTCTTGAAAGGTCTATTGCTGGAGATGGATCATTATCAGTGCATTCAGATAAAGTGCAGTGAAGATGCAGCTATCCTTAAGAGGTTTGTTGAAAAGGACAGAATTTATGATTTTCTTGCAGGTTTAAACATTGAATTTGATGCTGTAAGAGTGCAAATACTTGGAAAAGAAGATCTGCCAACCTTAAATGAGGCAATTGCAATTGTTCTTGCTGAGGAAGGAAGAAGGGGTGTTATGATTGAAACTCACATAGTAGAGAGTTCGGCCTTGGTGTCAAAAAACACGGCTGTGAAGAATTATGGCTGTGAACAGCGTTTTGGAGAAGGCAATGGGCAAGCTGACATGTCAAGACCATTCAACAAGGATTCTATGTGGTGTACATACTGCAAAAAATTCCACCATACTAAGGAGAAGTGCTAGAAGCCCCGTGACAAGCCTTAAACTGTGAACAAAGCCTGGTCAGAAAAGAGTGGATAGCCAAGAGGACAGGGACAGGCACATGTGGCAACCACACAATCAAACAGTGAAGACAATCTTTGAATCCCATCTACCAAATTCAACAAATAAGAGATAGAGAAATTAAGAAGCCTATTGGGAACGTTGGAGAAACCGTCTGCAACAGGTACTTGTTCTTTGGTGTTCTCAGGTATTTCCTCTCATTTCTCCTCTTCTCATGTTTTTAGTGTTTCGGATATAGTCTCCTCAAGCTCCTGGGTCATTGACTCGGGAGCTACAGATCACATGACCCATTCCTCAAAAAAATTTATTTCATATACCCCTTGTCTTAGCAATAGGAAAATAATAACAGCTGATGGATTAGTGACAACCGTGGCTGGTCAAGGAGATGTTTTTTTGAATGACCACCTTACACTTAAGAATGTCCTCCATGTCCCAAAACTATGCACCAATCTTGAGTCAATCTAGAAACTCACTACAGATTCCAATTGCAGTGTGACGTTTTATCCTCTTCGTTGTATATTTCAGGAACAGGGCACGAAGAGGATGATTGGACATGCTAGGGAGAGGGATGGTCTATACTACCTTGAAGAATCAAATGGACAAAATAGAGTTGAGAGTTTGTCACCATTATCATTTCTTTCCGTGTCATTCAAATCCAATAAAGACAAGATATGGCTTCAACACCTTCGTCTTGGTCACCCATCATTTAGTGTTCTCAAAATAATGTTTCCTTCATTGTTCAAAATTTAATCCATTGAAAATTTTCATTGCGATGTATGTGAACTTGCAAAGCACAAACGTACTTCTTTTCAAATCAGCAATAAAAGAACTTTTGTTCCATTTACCTTGATTCACAGTGACATTTGGGGACCTTCCACTGTTGCTAATGTTTCTGGGGCAAGGGGGTTTGTCTCATTTATTGATGATTGTACTCGTGTGTCTTGGATTTTTCTGTTAAAAAATAAATTGGATGTGAGTTCTGTGTTTCCAACTTTTTTCAATATGGTCAAAACTCAGTTTGGTGTTGGGATAAAGAGATTCCGATCTAACAATACTACAGACTACTTTAATCAAATTCTCTCTCCGTATTTCAAAAAACAGGGCATAATACATGAATCCTCTTGTGTTAGCACACCTCAACAAAATGGGGTGGCCGAACGAAAGAACGACCACCTTCTCGATATTACAAGAGCTTTCTTGTTCCAAAAAAATGTTCTAAAACAATACTGGGGGGAGGTTGTTTTAACCGTTGCTCATCTCATCAATCGGCTTCCTACAAGAGTCCTTGGTTTTAAAAGTCCAATACAGGTCCTTACACAGTTCTTTCCTAATTTTAACGCATCTAATAATCTTGTTCCAAAGATATTTGATCGTGTTGCCTTTGTTCATGTGCATTCTCAAAACAGGGGAAAACTTGATCCTCGAGCTCTCAAATGTGTCTTTCTTGGCTATTCCTCCACCCAAAAGGGCTACAAATGCTATCATCCTCCGACAAGGAGATTTTATGTGTCTGCTGATGTTACTTTTGTCGAACAAGATCAGTATTTTAACGGTCCTTATCTTTAGGGGGAGACATCTTTCATAGAAGATTAAGGACAGGGATTTTTTTCTCCTTGAGTTTCCAGCCCCTATCTCTCATCAATCCGAGTCAAACATACTCCCAAACATTCAGTCCGAGCCAAACACACGGTCAGAAGCTGAGCCTCATACACCCAACTCACAAGGAGTGTTACATGGGAAGCAAACTCGAGACTCTACTTGTCCATTGCAGATTTACTCAAGGAAAAGAGCACCAATCTCTCAACCTGTGCAAGTTCAATCACCCAAATCTACTCTTGGTAATGTCGAGGTAATTACTCAACCCAATGATAACACTAATGAAACCTCTGAACAAAATGATTATGATGTCCCTATTGCAATTAGAAAAGGAACTCGAACTTGTACCAAACACCTTCTTTATCTGTTCATCTCATATAAGAATCTTTTTCATAACCATAGGGCCTTTCTTACTAGCTTAAATACAGTCCCTATTTCCAAAACTTTATCCGATGCATTAGGAAATGAGAATAGGGAAAATGCTCTGAAGGTTGAGATGGAAACACTTGAGAAAAACAAGACTTGGGACTTGGTGAGACTGCCTAGAGGGAAGAAACCGGTTGGGTGTAAATGGGTGTTCATAACCAAATACAACTCAGATTGCTCTTTGGAAAGGTATAAGGCAAGATTAGTTGCCAAAGGGTATACACAAACTTACGGCATAGATTATTTTGAGACTTTTGCTCTAGTTGCTAAGATGAATACTGTGAGAATCCTGCTATTAGTGGCTGGAGATTACAGCAATTTGATGTCAAGAACGCCTTCTTACATGGCGATCTTGAGGAGGAGATCTACATGGAAATTCTGACTGGGTTTTGTTCAAATGAAAAAGGAAGGAATGGTATGTAAGCTTAAAAAAGCTTTGTATGGACTGAAACAATCCCCAAGAGCTTGGTTTGGGAGATTTACCAAAGTGATGGTCAGTATGGGATGTAAGCAAAGTCAAGGTGATCATGCATTGTTTGTAAAGCACTCAGCATCAGGGAGAGTGACAGTATTGTTGGTCTATGTGGATGACATCATAGTAACAGGAGATGACTTAGAAGGAATGGAGAGCTTGAAGAAACAGTAGTGAAGGAATTTGAGATCAAAGAGCTAGGAAAACTGAAGTACTTTCTTGGTATTGAAGTAGCCCACTCTCAGCAAGGGATTCTTAGATCACAGCAAAAATATGTGTTAGACTTGTGGGGAAGTTAATTTATTTGTCACATACCAGGCTGGATATAGCTTATGCTGTGAGTGTTGTGAGCCAATTCATGCGCAATCCTAAAGAATCACATCTCAAAGCTGTGTATAGAATTCTGCAGTACTTGAAGGGTACACTAGGAAGAGGAATTCTGTTTAAGAAAGGGGAAGGACTGACTCTTGAAGCCTACACAGATGCGGATTATGCAGTATCCGTGATTAACAGAAGATCAACCTCGGGCTATTGCACCTTCCTAGGTGGTAACCTCGTTACATGGAGAAGCAAAAAACAGAATGTGGTTGCAAGGTCCAGCGCAGAAGCTGAATTTAGAGCGATGACACCCGGGATATGTGAACTGCTATGGCTAAGGATAATCTTGGAAGATCTGAAAGTCAGATGGGAAGGTCTAATGAAGCTTTACTGTGATAATAAATCAGCCATCAATATTGCACACAATCATGTGCAACATGACCGCACAAAACACATTGAAGTTGAATAGTGGCCTCATTTGTACTCCTTTTGTTCCTACTGGAGAACAACTAGCAGACATACTTACCAAAGGATTGCCTGGTACCGTTTTTCAGAGAATAACCAGCAAGCTTGGAATGGATGACATCTATTCACCAGCTTGAGGGGGAGTGTGGGAAAATACGATTCTTTCCTTGTATAAGGAAATTGTGTACGGGTTGTTAATAGCTACGGATTTATTAGTTATTGTAATCCCTGATTTCTAAGGATCAGTTTTTTATATGTGTTAATGTGTATCTCCAGGATTAGTTAGTTTCCTAGAATAGCATTTTTTTGATGTACATATAACAGTGTATTCCCAATTCTTTAATCAATTGATTCGATTACCAATTTCAGTAATTTTGTCATTTAGGTAAGAGAGGGACTTAGGCAGCCCCTCTTCAGGCAAGGACTGGAGCTTAGGGCAATCCCAGATGCGTAGTTCTATAAGAGAGGTGAGGTGTTGAAGGCCCTTATGGTTCAGTGATTTCAGATTTGGAAGATTTGTAATCCAAAGATGGGTAAGAGTGGTGGGCAATAGCCACTCCTCTGGAAATGACTCCAACTCTTCTTCTTCAAATCCACCGCTGATGGTGAAATTCACAAGAGATGGGAGTGTTTGCTGCAAACCCCACCCCATCCGGCCCTTTATCAGTTTCTCACAATTATAAATGCGAAGTTCACGTAAGTTGGATGGCAAACCTCTATCTGAAAATGATTCAACTTCTGGACAGTCATCTATCAGCAATGCTTGAAGAGATGGGAGGAGGGTGTGCATTCGTTGCGGCAGCAACTTAAGACTCTCATAATTCCAAACATAAAATGAGCTCAGATTGGGAGCGGACAGTTCTCCTTAGCCAAAGGATACCACTCTAAGGCAATCCTCTATTCTAAGCCCCATCAGATTTTGAAACTCTTGGTCTGGAATTGAAAGCGTTTCAAAATTTATACACCCCCTGATCTCTAAAGAACGAAGCTTTGGGCAGAAGCCTAACGACAGTGATTTGAGAAGATGACAGCTTCTAGTTATCGTCAAAACTTCAATGGCTGAGTGGTAATTGTGCTCCGTCTCCTCCGACAGGGGAAACTCTAAACTTGTACATTTGTTGATCACAAGTACTTTCAATGTAGGAAGAGGTAGACCACCATTAGGGAAAGACACTTGAACAAGAGATGAACAATTCGAGATGTGAAACTCTTCAAGCAAAATATTGTTGATGCCCATCATATTCATTCCCTCTGCTGATGATGCTATTGTCTATAGAGCTTCACACTCACCGATCTCCAGAGTCTTAAGCATCGGCAACAATCCCATGTCCGGAAATGACACGAGGCTAGGGCATTTCTTTATCTCCAACCTTTCAAGTTTTATTAATCTGCACAACTTAGGAGGCAATTCCTTTAAGTTTGGCATCCTGGAAATCTTCAATTTCTGAAGAGAAGATAGGTTTTGAAACTGCGGTGGCAATTCAGTCAAGTTTGAAATATCTGAGATCATCAATTCCTAAAGAGAAGACAGGTGTTGTAGCTGTTGCGGCAATTCCGTCAAGTTTGTCATCTCTGACATCTTCAATTCTTAAAGAGACGACATGCCTTGCACCAACAATCCGACATTATTGGAAACGAGCCCATGACATTCAAAAATTTCAAGTTTCCTCAGAGATGGGAAGTGGTTGGGTAATTCGCCGATCAACTTAGGACAATCAACAATAGAAAGCTCAAGAAGGCGAGAGAACTCTCCAACCTCTAATGCATGCCATTCCTTCCACTCTGACATTTTCTCAAAACTTAGTGTCTCCAGAGATTGAAATGGTTTGATTGAAGAAAAAGAAAAAGAAGAGGCATCCTCATAGAACTCCCGACCAACCTCCGTTATTTCTTTCATCTCTTCAATTCTTAGATGTTTTAAAGAGGGTAGTTGCCCAATTGACGGCAACAGATAACAATTTGCACACCTTCTAAGCTCTAACGACACCATGTTACGAAATGAATGAGGTTTATCTAACCAATGTGGAAATTTTGTGCCCCCATAGTTGACGATGCTAACAAACTTCACCCCTGCATGAGGCTGTAGCTTGTCAACTAAATCTCTTTCCTTCTGTGAATCACTTGTATCGCCACCCCATTTCAACACTAATCCTTCAAGATGCTTCTTATCCTTCATATTGGCCTCTGTTGCATCCAAACCACTGACTACATTTTCTAACCCTGAAATATCGAGTTTTCCCCTAAGATGAGAGTTCCTTCAACCCATTAATCCTTGATTTATTGTTCTTGCCGACTACAAAATATGTTAAATGTCGGAGATTTTCCAGCTTGCTCATTTGCGTCGGCATTTCAATCAATCTAGTTTCTCTGATATCAAGATGACGCAAGTTAATTAGTTTTCCTATGTTCACAGGCAACTCAATGAGATATGCACAATATGACAAATCCAATTTCTATAAATTGCACAAGGTTGTTACTGAATCAGGTAACAGTTTTATTCTTGTTCGAGAGAGATCCAAATAGCATAAATGTATCAAATTTTCGATTAATTGAGGCAATTCAGAAATCTGATAGTTTGACAGAGATAAAACCCTTAAGCATCTTAGAAATGGCAACATATCATGTAGTACCTTACTGCCTAAGTAACAACATTGCTGGTCTCTTGAAAATGAGATAAATGTCCTTAAACACCTAACCTCATTAACAACCTTGAATTTCTCAAATGCATCGTGTCTGCCACGAGCAAATGAGAAATGACGAACTTTTTCATAGATATAATCTACTGGCTTGTCATAATCTAGCATAGAACAAAATTCTCCAGATATATCCTGAGCTAAGTCATGGATCAAGTCATGCATTACAAAATAAGAATTGGTGTCATGACTCAATCTCTGAAAGAAAGACCCTAATAATAGTTTATGAAAGTACTAGTTACCTTCATCTTCCACTGATTTGTTGGTTTTGAGTTGCTCCACAAGATCTATGGCTATCCATAACTGGACTAACTTTTCCTTTTTAAATTTGAAATCTTTAGGAAATATAGAACAGTATGCAAAGCATCGCTTTAAATGCGAAGGAAGATAATGATAACTCAATCTTAGAGTTGGAAGAGTGTTTCGATCCAAATTCCATATCTCGTTTTTTAATATATTTTGCCATTCCTCAAATTCAAATTTACACCGCAAGAGACCTCCAAGTGATTTTACTGCTAAAGGCAGGCCTCCACACTTCTTCACAATTTCTTTGCCAATACTTTGTAGCTCAGGATAAGCCATATAATCTCCATTTACAAATGCATGCTTTGCAAATAATGACCAACAATCTTCAAACGGCAACTGCTCCAAGAGATGATTAGGAACTGTGCCCTTCACTGATGCGACATTGTTAATGCGTGTCGTTACAATGATCCTACTTTCCTGTACTCCAGCTCTGAAAGGTCTTCTTAGAAGGTCCCAATCAATGTAACTATCATTCCAAACATCGTCTAAAACAATTAAAAATTTCTTCCCTGCCATGCTTTCTTTCAACTTGGTCTGAAGTTGATCGAGACTGTCGATATCATTGTTTGATGAGGAGGTGACATCGGCCAAAATTTTCTTTGTTATCACGAAAATATCAAATGTATCAGAAACACAAACCCATGATTTCATAGGAAAATTCTCATTAACTCGAGCATCATTGTATACAAACTGGGCTAGGGTTGTCTTTCCCATCCCACCCATGCCTACAATGGGGATCACACGGATCTCATTCCTAGTTGCGTTGTCCGGTAACAACAATTCAATTATCTTCTCTTTGTCATCCTTCCTACCACAAACCTCAAATTCATATATCAAGGAAGCAGTTGGCAGCCTTTGTGATGATTTTCTTCCAACATCATCTCTCAAATTAAGAGAATTTTTTTGCTCAACAAAACACTCCAACTTACTAATGACCTCTTTCATCCTAGACTCTATCTCGTCATCAGACAAATAAACGGACATGGTGACGGATTGATTAATGCGTAATAGAGATTGCTTGATTGATCGACGGAGAAATTGACGGAAACCAACCTGAGTTGTGCTGCTTTGGGTCAGGGACAGATCATTATCAACTTCCAACCTGTCCCTCAAGGCTTTGGTAGCAATCTCATCCAGCAAGTCGTCAACTTGGTAGATAACATGCTATAGCTCGTCGAGCCAAGCTTTCACTGATTTGTTGGTGATCTGCTTGTCCTCCGCATCATCGAGCACTGCTTGAAGGGCCAACAAGTTTATCTTCAGCTTGTCTCTAAGTCCATCATCAGATTTACTTTTGAAAAAGAAGCTTATGAAGTCACGACTAGCCAACCGATCAAATAGCACTTGAAGGAAAGCTGAGAGAAATGCTGCACCCACCAATGCTCCAGCCATGTTCTTTACTTTTGGTGGGAGAGAGAGAAAGAGAATAGAAGAGAAGAGTAGCTGTAAAGAGCCTTTTCAATGTTGAATATTCTGGTAAATGAGGACCAAGTAAAGCATAATGGTAAATTGCACGAAGTCTATGCTCCAGCCATATTGGACTTTTCTCTTTGAACAAGTCATTGTGGCCAAGCCTTGTGCACCGGTCCCCCCACAAGGTCCAAACAAGAAAGCCTTATGGAGGCCACTTGCAGAAGTCATATTAGATTTATTCTCTTTAACAATATCTAATCCCTAAATTTCATCACTTAAAGAAGAAAAGAATGTCTTATGATCATGTAATAGCTAATGCACAAAGGGGATTCTAGCTAAATATGACAGTTAGGAATTCTAATGTTAAAAATTCAATTTGTTTATCTATTAATTTAGAATTAAAAATAAAGCGTATTACAAATTTTGAAGCAATACCAACAGGCCCGTGGCCTAGCGGTATCAGCCTCTTACCTCCCAAAGGGAGGTCAGGGGTTCAAGTCTCAGAAGAGACAAGTATGTGTGAGTGCCAACTAGGGAAAAAAAAAAATTTGAAGAAATATTTAGAGGGTTAATTACTACTACGAGTCTTGATTCTAAGCCTTATGGGTTGTTAGAATCTATCCAAAAAAATCTTCCTTCAATATTGAGCCTCCGGAATTGTGCAGATCAGTAAATCTTGAAAGGTTGGAGATAGAGGAATGTGGACGCCTTACGTCATTTCTAGAGATGGGGTTGCCACCAATGCTTAAGGCTTTGAAGATCGAAAGATGTAAAGCTATACAGTCTCTACCCCCGTGCAAGGTGATTTACTTTAACCCATTTATGTTTGTTCCTTTCCCTTTTCATACGTACATCTATGGTGATGTGTTTACATTCTACTCCCAATTCCTCCATAGCACAAATACTTCTTATTTTCATTAACTATTATATTGTGTCAGCATAAATAATATACAGAGAGATGGACTAAATTGGGGTTGAGAGAGAGAAGGGATTTTTCCTTGAATGAGAAATTTTAGTATGCTGCAGTTGAAAGAAAATGTTGACTATGTATGATGTAATGATTCTGAAAAAATATAAAATTATTCAAAAACCATGTATGGTACCTTCTTGTGCTGCGTATTAAATTTTGTTTCTGGGAGATAAGTTACACCATGTATACTTCAAAGTTTAAAATAAGTTTTTGTCCGCCATAATCTTTTACCAAACCTTTACAAGGTTAAAAGTTTTAAAATATTATTCTCCCAAAGCAATAAATTACAAATTCTGATGCAATATATAGACGGTTAGTTACTACTATGAGAACTTGATTCAAAGGCTGGTTGTTAAAATCTATCCAAAAAAACTTCCATCAATATTGAGCCTTAAACACACACACCCCCAGAGAGAGATCCGCATACAGTTTTAAGGTTTTTGAACATTAATTTAAAGGGTAGTTTTATATAGCGAAAACTAAAATAGATTGATATTTTTCATAATTTGATACTACGCCTAAAATTATCTGTCTTTCAATATTTCGGGGAAAAAAAAAAAACAATAACCAAAACAAAATATAGACAGGAAAAAAAGTTAATTTCAGTTTTGGAAGGTGAAAATGATATTGAGCTGTTGAAACTATGTGGTAAGATTGGAATGTAATGACATAGGTTTTTGTTGAATTCAAAATTGGATATTTTGATCGAAATTTCAGCAATGAATCAACAATGGAATTAATTAGTGAGAAGTAAAAGCTACTTTTGATATCAGAGTGGTACTAGAGGCAGACTTTAATGGTGAAAGGCAATATGAAAAAAAGTTGGAATTAAACATATAATATGAACCATAATTGAAATTATACACATGATACACTGATGAAACATCATTCATACATCAAAATGAGCTTGATAACAATATGTAATACTCAAAACTTCACAAATTTACTCAATGGAAAGATGTGTAAGAGAGGTTGTCGCGCTGCATTTTTTTCCCTTCCCTTTTCCCTCAGGGGTGGTCTCGGGAGATGGAAACGCCATTCCTTCTCGGGATTCGGGAGGTTGGTTGGTTAAAAGGGGAGGGCAAAAATGGGGTGTCTACAGAGGTAAGGTGTTGAAGGCCCTTGTAGTTCAGTGATTTCAGATTTTGAAGGCCGAAGATGCGGAGAGAGGTAAGAGTGGTGGGCAATAGGCACTCCTTTGGAAATGACTTCGACTCTGCTGTTTCATATCGACCGCGGATGGTGGAATTCTCGAGAGATGGGAGTGTTTGCAAACCAAAAATCAATCTTAACCGCTAATACACAACAATTGCAATTAGGTTGCTAAAATTCTTAATATCATCGTGAACTAAAAAAAAAAAAGGGCATCTGCGACATGAATGGATAACTAATTAAGGGTGAGAGAACTCATGCTATTTACCATCAAAAGACAGTAAAAGCATTCTTAATTTCTTATTATATCTTTTTGTACAAAAAATTAGATAGCTGCATTTTAATAGAATGCTAAGGACAATTGCCCACCAATAATGTGAATCGCGAGCAATGATACGCACTTCACTCTAAGGACTCTAAGAATGGTAACTAACGCTCGTAAACTTCAATATTGCTAAATGTCTTCAAAAGGCAAACTTATATTTTATCATCTTAAAATTGTAAAAACATGAATTGAAAAACCATAATCCCTGAATAGAATAGCATTATAAAACTAAAAATAAATAAACCAAATCTAAATCTTTTGCACTATTCTCTCATTTGAAGGCCTGTGATGCCATTGCACATGGGGCTAGTAGGGCA